TTGGCAGTCCTTATGAGGATGCGTCATGTGCACGGACTCCACTTCTACCCTCAGAAATCCTCACATACATGTGTCCAGGCAAGTGTGCCTAGATGTCTATTGTGATATTACTTATAACTGTGAAAAATGGATACAATTTCAATGTCCATCAATAGAGAAAGATTCGATAACTTAATGATACATTCCTTTGCTCCTGGAATACCAGGCAGGGAGGGAGAGATCTCTGACATGGAAGGAATGTCAAAGATATTATTGAAAAAAATGATATTTTGTATATATATGTAACATATATACATATTTACCTATGTGTACTTACATAATACTTATGTAAAATACAAATATCCGTCTATATATTTGTGAGGGCATGAAAAGCTCTGGAAGCCCGCATAGCAACAATATTCGTGCATTAAGAGCGGGTTGAAGAGAAGGGCAGGGAGTGAGCGAGGAGTGAGGCAAGAGACCGCCTTCTACTTAATACACATCTACATGACTTGATTTCTTTCAAAATGAGCATGCATCATTTGACACATAAAATAACAAATTCAAAGGAGAGCTAATTAATCACTAAGTAACAACAGGCCAAAAAGCTTATAGCATCCTCCTCCAACATCCCAGGACACTGTTTATGAAGATGCAGAAAAAATGGAAACTCACCCAAATGAGCACACAACTTAATACCTGAATCTGGACAGAATCTCTGTGGATCAAATGGAGATGGCAGAATGATGTCCCATGCTTTGTCTCCCCAAAGGGGAACTCAAAGGAAAACAGACACTTCGTACTGTCCTTCCTGCCAGGCCCTGAGCAGTCAAGGTCTACATGAGCCAGAAATCTGAATGCTCCTTCTTCGTGGTAGAGGATTATGTATGGAGTCAGGGCCAGGCTCCACCTGGCTGCACTCCTTTCTCCCTTGCCTTTCTCTTTCTACCATCATTCAGCAATGCTTAAGAAACAACTCATAGAAAACAACTGAGCTAAAAATGTGTGCAGAGTTGGGAGATGAAGGGCGTCTGGCAACAGTATATTGGATTTTCCCCACAAATAAAGTATTATAGGTGCATATGGGGGCAGAATGATCTCTGGGAGGAGTGTGTGCTAGGAATGTATTTTCATGTTCAGAGTATCAGATTCAGAGTACCAAAGAATCAAACAGTGGGATAGAAAAAGGTGCTTCCTCTCTTAAACACCAGTCAAAGCTTCCAGAAACTGACAATGAGTTTCAGAGTTGCATACTTCTACTGAATTTCTGGGAAAGAAACTGGCCCATTATACAAGTGTGCAGAGAACAGGACCAGTGGCAATCCCCATCCCCAGTATGTTGCCAAAGATAAAGTTAAAGCAGATATCACTTTGTTTTATGGGGGAAGAAAAAGACACAAAAATTTGAATAAAATAAATATATGGATAATCATTGTTCCTACAGAAGAGATAAAAACAAATAGAGACACATAAGGGAACAGAAAAGCAATCAAGTGGCTAATGGTTTGGATTAACATTTTAATCTAAAATTCCCAGTAAATAATATCAGGTTTGTGAATTACATTTTAAGCAAGACAGCAAAAATGGAAATCACAAGGAAAATTATGAATACAGATTTGATTACATAAATAATTC